CCCCCCGAAAAAAATACAGAGGAAATCTTATAATCAAGAGGAGTCGTTGCAATTCATGTCTGTTTCTGTGCTGAGAAAGGACATCTATTCTAAATTCTCATTACATGCACATCCTTTCCTTGCTTCCTGAAGCCCCTAGTCCATTCTGTAGATAGCTTCCAAGAGATCCAATCACAGTGAAAAAAAGATTTTCTAATGGTTAAAGAGGAACTGGTAAATTTAAGCTGGTTCCAGTCCCTAACGTGATGTTCTCCTCTTTTTGTAGCGGTGGGGTGGTGGTTTCTAAGGAGATGTCTCTTAGGAATGGATGACTAGTAGAACTGCCAACTGTCCCAGCTGTACAAGGGGAACTTGAGGCAGGAAATGACCTTATTTCCAGTTAGTGCAAGATGGTTGGTCTTCTTTGGACTGCCCTCCCACACTGCAGCCCCAAGCTCCAGCTGCCCCCAGGGAACTTCATTAGCTCAGATAAAGACCTGCAGCCTCTGGAAGGTGTCCTCCAGGCCCACAAAGATGTGCTAGGTCCCAAACAAGGTTTCTGGTCAAAGCCACGCTTCCGGGCCTCAGAGCCCGATTTCTGCTTTACAGAGAACATCTCCCACCCACCTTCTTCCCTCGCTGAAGTCTGCAGGGTCTGGCCAAGCAGGACAAACAGTTGCCTAGGGCAGCAAGCTGTTTAGTGATTGTTTATTATGGGAGTGACTGAGAGCTAGGGACAGACACTTCCCAGCTTCCCTCAGGCTGCAAAAAAACTCCAGCAGGGCGTGGACGAAGGGCATGGTTATAACAAGGCAGGGTGAAATGATCCAGTGGAAAATTTTAGACATTTGTTGTTTTAGATTTGTTTTAATAAAGGGGGGAAGGGGGCATGGGTGGGACATTACTGTACATTCCCAAAGCCTCTCCCTATTTCTGATGAGCTAGCTTTTCCAGATTTGATCTGTACCCCCTGCACAATTCGGAGAGGCCTGGGACAGAAATGAGGGTCCAGTCATCTTCCAAATATGATGACAACGATGCAGATAAATGCAGTGATTGAAACCACATGTGACCCTCGGTTCTCTCCAGCCTAGAGTTGGGAGCCTGAGAGCAGCCATCCAAGGCAGGGATCCTTCTGTTGAGATCAGGATGCGGATTATCTGGGCCCTATGAGGAGTTGGCATGTGGGGATTTTAGCTCCTCTATATCCTACCAGTCGTCCTATGTAACCTTAGGAGGAGCCAGCTACCATTCTTATTCTTTCTCATTCTCTTCCTGCTTTGGCACACGTTTCTAGTCTTGCCTGACCATTGCCGATCCCCTCATCCCATGTTCCAGGGTTACCCAGCCCCGCTGTCTGTTTCACAATGGCGTATGTTGTGAGAAATGTTCGGGTACTGAAAATTGAAGAAAACTTGGATTCAGATCCCAAACCTGCCATTTACTAGTGCCTTGGGCATGTGGCCTAATCTCACTGAACCTCAGTTTCTCATTTAAAAAGTCAGAATAATTAACATTTGTTTTTTGCCAGCCTCTTTGAATTTGTAAACTGTAAATTGTTCCACACATGTAACATTTTTTGCCTAAGTTCCACATTTCAAAATCCAACTGAAATCTAAAGTAGCCCCTGAAAATGGCATCATCATTACATCTCCCTGTTTTATTTTCTCCCTAGCCCCTTTCATTAGCTGAAATCTTTTATTTGTTCATTTGTTTACTGTCTGTGTTTCTTCACTGTCAGAGAAGCTGCCTGAGAGCAGGGGCCCTGTCTGTCTTACTCCTGAATCCCTAAAGGCTCGGGGTAGTTCCTGGCACGTAGGTGCAGCTCAATCACCGATGTGAATGATGAATGAATTACTAAAATTCAACCTCACCACTTGAACATGCTTGAAAGGAAAGCCCACCCCGCCCCGCCTCGGCAGGACTGAGTCTCTTGTTCACAACAGAAATATTACTAACCAGGAGTATCTTAAGAGAGGGCAAATCCGTGCATCATAAATCCTCCAACATTGTATGTCAGATGGTGTAATGCCTCTCTGGTCAAAGCCCTTAAGGCATCTCTGTCTCTGAATAAGAGCCTAAGCCCTCACAATGACCCGTAAGCTCCTTTAGGATCTTCTCTGTCTTTCATCTCCCTCCCAGATGCCTCTCACGTCATTTTCCTGCCAGTAACATTCCCCCCATCCCAATCTTCCCTTTCTTCTCCAGCCAGATTGGTTTCCTTGCTGTTTCTCATATGTACGCAACATGGTCCTGCCTCAAGGCCTTTGCACATCTTCACCTCTGCCAGTCTGCCCCCAGTATCACATGACACACTCCATCACTTCTTTTCAGTCTCTTTTCAAATGCCACTTTACTGTTGAGGCCACCTCTGACCTCCCTAAGTAAAACAGCAATCCCTCCCTCAGTTTCCTACCCTGTCACCCCACTTTATTTTTTTTTCCTTAATGGTAATCCACATCTACCATACTGTATGTTGATTGTTAATTTATCATTTATCCGTTGTATCTAGAATACGAGCTCCATGAGGCAAGGATGTGGTCTTTTCTCTTTCATATCCCCAGGACCTACAACAATGCTTATCACTAAGTATTTGTTGAAGTAACGAATTTGAACCCATTGTCTATAGAGCAAACAGAGAATGTTCAAGGCTAGAGTTCTATTACAAAACACACACACACACACACACACACACACACACACACACACATCCCTACAGCTATCCCACTGTTCAAGTCTTGCTTAATTTCCTCTTCCAGGAATAATTCTTTCCCACAGGTGAAAACAGCATGGCACACATGACACCCAGAAGATGGGGATTCTCATCTTGGTTCTGTCACTTACTCTATAACCTTGAATGAGTCCCTTCACTTCTCTAAGCTTTGGATTCTCATTGGTAAAATCAGGAGTAACTGTATGTTTGTATATATATATCATGCTCAGCTCAGTGGACCACTGTGAGAATCAAATGAGAACAAATGGATAATGTATGAGAAAGCTCTCTGCAGCCCACAATGCACATAGCAAATGCAAGGTCTGGTCATCACACTCTTGGACAGATATGGACACAAGTGCATGAGATCATGTTTCCATGCTGACAGCATTAAATACATGAAATATCACCTACCAAACACAACAATTTCCAGATGCTTTATAGACTCTGGAATGGTCACTGACTGTTGTAAGCAAAGAGGAAAAGGGAAGAAGGAAAACTCACCAATGGACAAAAAGAAGATTTTTTAAATGTATAAAGCACCAAAGGCATAAATGCTTTTCAAGGGTCTATAATTATATATGCCATAAGAGAAAATAATTGACTCCAAAATGGGAAAA